GTGATAACATTTTCTATTAGCAATTTGAACAAATGAACATGGGGACTTTTTTCATGCTCTCTTGTTTCTGTTCTCTTTCATTTAGTGGTTTCAACTGCGAAGCTGATTTAGAAGACAATTTAGGATTTCTTCTGAAAAGGTAAAACTAATGGTCCAGTATTCCTCGAATGAACCCCTATTGCCCACCACTTTTTATGTCACAGTTTTAGACTAAGATCAGCTTATGTTAAGAAACAACAGTGATAGCCATTTTGGTAAAAATGAGAAGAAAAAAAGTTTATGCCATGTTACACAATTTTGTGAGGTGCTGTGCGATTTGTCAGCACTGAGAGTCCGTGTTGTGATTGACTCTTGGCTACTACCACATCATTTTATTTTTTCCTTCACTGGCCCTGGAACAAGGCACACACTTTCTCGTCCCTCTCCCTGTTCTCCTCCTGCTTTTGTTGCTGCCTGTCTGTGCATAGGAGCTCCTATTTTTACACATCTTCAGAAATTAAAACTACTGTTTTGATTCTTACCAACTGGACTTTTGATGCAAATGACAAAATCTTTTCTACAAAATGACAGGGTCCTGGAGAACCCTCATCTGCGTGGATTACATGTACAGCTGGATATATCTCTGGGGAAGTGGGATGTGATGTGACTACCTCTGCTATTGATTGAGGATGCCGAAATTGAATATAATTGGATTTATGATAACGTTTCCTGTTTTTGGAATTGTCTGGTTCCTGGTTTATCAATGTACAAAGAAGATGGCCGCAGCTAATTTGGCCCTCGTCAGGCTGCTGTCTATGTGAAGGTTGGTTCGTGCTTTGAGGACTCAAAATCAGCTGACTTACGAACTAAACCGTTAGATGGAAGTGATTTGAATCGGAGACCACCTGCGACTTTGGGACTCTTCAGCATGAAAACGACCTTGAAGAGGCTCGTAAGCACAGACCAATAGAATGCACCCTAATCTGGCCATTTTGGATCTCGGAAGTACCAGTAAGACTCAAGGCTGACAACAAAAATAGTCTCCCGGAATAAATCAACAATTGTGGAATATCTGAATTTGACTCCCTGGTTGGCCTCAAAACATGCCGACTTACCAATTTCTCCTGGGAGATGTGTAAACTAAGGAAAAGCTTCGTCTATCGCACCCCCCCCCCCCCCCCAAAAAAAAAAAACTTCTGTGGAGGCTTATCAGAACTGTGCCAGCTGACCATCATCTTATCAGGTCAATGGACTATCTGTTAGTGCTTCATGGACCGCCTCATCGTCAAATGCATATGTAACGTGTTCATAAATGTGCTGGCAGAGTTTATTTGATGTCTTAAATCGTGTCCTGTTAGGACAAGGTGTGAAAAGATCTTATTTTTGTAATGCCACTATCCTCTCCTCATGGCTTTGTCCCTTTTTCTATCTAAAAAAAGTATTCTGAAAAGGATAAGAAGGCCGTGCTATCACAGCAGCAGCTACGTGCACTCCGCCCATCTTTCGGACGACTGTACGGACATATCCTCATTGTATTTCGGTGCAATGATATTAAAGCTTATTCTGATTCACATCTTTGCTCAATTCACGTAAAACTGGCAGAGGTCTAGTCAATTGTGTTAAGTAACTGTGGCATTCATCTTGAAATGAATTGACCAAGTACTTTATTTCAAATGTCAGTGTTCCTTCTCTGCAGTAAGCCCCTACAGAGGTCTACAACACAGCAGGAGTGGTTTTGAAAAGGAACTAAACTGTTTGCACATCTGGTGATACCAGATTTGTGAAGCCAGTTTTACACCAGCAACATGTGTATACTCAACATGGAAAAGGTTTCTTTGGGTTTATATTTTAACAGATAAAATCATCCACACTGAACAATTGATTCAGGCCTCATACCAGGCTGCAGTGTGCTGTGTTAAAAGTTGGCATGAGGCCTGTTTGATGAGATAAATAAGGATCAGGGAAGCAGTTAACATTAACTACACACTGTTATTTCATTTCTTGGTCACTATAATGACCTCATTTATACAAATATACTTTGTGGCTTTAAAAAAGCTTAGAGTGGAAAATGATTCTGTTGGTGTGTTTAAACTGAATGCCAGTGTTTCAGTAGTTTTCCATCTCTGATTAAATAATGCCAAACACATCATGTGACAATCAACAATAAGGTTTGCACTATAGAGCTGGAGCTATCATGTATTTTATTAATAAAATTGTGTTTTGATTAATTTGTTAAATAATGGAGTCATAAGTCATGCAGAACTTATGTTTGTGGTTTCAAATCTGTTTTTTTTGCTCAGAAAGTCGTCAAAATGGTACCAATAAACAATTTGTTATCCCTCCCATCACTTGGCACAACGACGGATAAAACAAATTTAATATTAAAATATTTTTACCGTATTTTTCAGATTTGTTTCAATAAAGGCACAAGATCTATCAAATGTCACTGCTGCTGTTGTCTGATATAAACATATATAAAATATAAATAAATAGGAGAATAACCTCAAACTGCCCATTTGACTATGACAAATGTGTACTTTGTGTTGAGATACCAAATCATTCGTTGTGACTTTGTGGTAAATTACTCCAGGTATTTCAATAGATACACAAGACTGTAGTTTAGTTTTTTTAATTGACTCTGAAATGTTAGTATTTATTGTATTTGTACCAGCTTTTTCTGTATTGTTTTTCCTTTTTTAATCCATTTTCATTGCAGTATCCAAATCAATCCTGTTACACACATAATGTATCAAAGCATGTGGCACAACACTAGTAATTGTGCTTTTTCATTTTCAACTGTGTCACTTGTTTTAGCCGTAAAGCAGTGTGAATGCTCACACAAACATCCACAAACCAGTAATTCAGCAACAAACACACCCACCACACAGCTGGTGTTATTCTAAAATAATGAGAAATATGCAGCTGGGGAATAAACACTGTTGATGATTTGTGAATGAACAATTAAAGCTAAATTTTCTCTTTACAAGGCACTATACAATTGTGCACAATACAGTTATTGTTTTTCTACAATAAATAAACTATTTGTAGTTTACATGGTCACATTTGATCAAACATACAGTGAAGAAAAATCAGCTAACAATCTTGTGTTGAGTTTGAAAATATATCACTAAAAGGTGATTTGCCTTAAACAGTGCACACGCATGAACGTTCAAACGTTTCCTTGTGTGGATCTAAAGTGAGCACATCTCAGACCTGTATCAGGTGAGCAGGACGGCAGTCTAAATCACAGTGACGGTGCACTTTTTCTACTCTTTGTGAAGTCCAGCTGATGCAACTACATGATCAGATCTTTGGGAAGAATTGATGAGAACGCTGCAGGAGCAGCTCACAAAATCCATCAAAGGGATTTCTGAGCATGCCACAAAAAAGTTTCATTTGCAGGTGTCAAAAGAACTCACAGAATCATGACAAGAGCCTGTTCAGCTAATGCACAGAGTTTTTTTTTTTTACCCAAATGTCTGGATGAAATGAAATGTATCCTCAGATGGTTCTGTGAACCTTATTTCTAACTGCAAATTAGTTTTTTTTTTTTTTTTTGAAAGCTCACATTATGGACACGGTTTGGCTTTTACAATTCCAATAATTTCAAAAAAACTACTCTTAAACTTGTTTTAAATTAAAGGACATGAGAAAAAGTCTGGTCTTTACTAGCTCTTCCTAAATACAAATAAAATATAACATGCAACATATTAGACTGTGACACTACTTCAAGCAATGCATGCAAAACTAAACTTGACCCATGATTGATTCACTAATAGAACAATTTTATTAGCAATAACGAAGTAATGATAAGTATGACCTCATTAATTCTCTCAAATCACAGTCAAGTACTTCACCTATCTTTAATTTTAGCCCACCTATCTATAAGGTTGTTCATCTGAGTGTGTGTCGGCCTCATTTTAAGACCTGGTTTAGAACAAACAGGTGATTTTGTTCAATTATATCCTAAAACTGTACTATCAAGTGGGCCGACTCTTTACCCTGACAGAACATTTTGTAACATCTAGACATGAAGGTTCATTTTCATAGAAAAATACACAAGAAAGAATGTATTAAGTGCAAATATTATTAGGTTTTCTTCTTTAATACTATATATTGCACACACACTACATATATATATATATATATATATATATATATATATATATATATATATACATTTAATTTTTTTTTTTTTTTTTTTATGTTTCCTCTTCAGGGGTCTCCACAGTGAGTCATCCTCCTCCATTTTACTCTGTCCTCTGTCCAACTATCTCCATGTCCTCTCTAACTGCATCTATATACCTCCTCTTTGTTTTTGTATTTTTCCTGGCAGCTGCATTTCTAACATCATTCTACCAGTATACCCACTGTCCCTCCTCTGGACATGTCCAAACCATCTCAGTCTGGTCTCTCTAATTTTATCTCCCAGTTGTTCAACCTGTGCTGTACCTCTGATGTTCTCATTCCTAATCTTATCCATCCTTGTCACTCCTAAAGAGAACCTCAACATCATTTCTGCCACTTCCAGTTCTTTCTCCTGTCTTTTTGTCAGTGCCACTGTCTCCAGACCATACAATATACCTGGTCTCACCACTGTTGTAAACTTTTCCTTTGGCCTTTGCTGACACCCTTTTGTCACAAATCACTCCTGAAACTTTGCTCCATCCACTCCATCCTGTCTGGATTCTCTGCTTCGCCTATTCACTACACTCCCTGTTTTCCTGTACAGGCCAAGTACTGCACCTTTGTGACCTCTGTTAAAGTCTTGGGCCTGTTTATTGGACATAAACCTGGATGATTCTAGCTGTTTTTTATTATTTGCCATGGGTCCAAATTATATTTAGACATTTATAAATGTCTCATTGTAATATTTTACTTTCTCTGGTATGCTGGTGTTGAATTTCCACTAGGTTTTCATTGATTTGCACAAACCCTACCATTAACAAAACAAACAAATCACATATAGTTTGGTGTTTGGGCAAAAACTAGAAGACATGATATAAAATTAGCTGACTCACCTGCAAATTGGCACAAGTGGAGAACATACAAGCACTATCCATTGGCTTGATGGCATTCTCATGGGTTTCATGTAGAGAGGGGATGGGTTTGGAGATGATCGGCGGCTGAGGAGGGGGCAGAAAAGTGTATGGGGGCTCGGTTACAGAAGCAGTCACTCCTTCTGAGCCATATCCAAAAGACAAGATGGCATTTTCTGAGGAGACACAAAAAGAGACAACATAAGGACACTGCTAAGAAAACAACAGAGGTAAAGTCAAATTACATGGACAAATATTTCCACCACAAATATTATTTCAACATTTGTTATACCCACTAAAAGCCACATCACTCTGACAACAAAATTACTGTTTGCTCACCAAGAGACAAATCACTGTTTTTACTTCCTGTCACTCTGCCCTCCCCACCCCCTATAAAAAATAAAACAATTGTTGAAAATCCTTTTTTTCTTCATTGCCTGAAAATAAATCTTACATTATACTTTATTTTTTTATAACCATTAATTCATCAAACATCATTACAAAATAAAATATTAATTCTAAATCAATACTCTGGAAATAAACTATGTGATTTGCTAGAAAACAAAATCTACAACTTTTTTTAAAACTATAAACATTTTATAACAAATTAATGAATCTTGTGTATTCAAAACAAGAAGATGTTAATTAGTTTATCTATTAAAAATAACCTATTTTAAAGTAAGAAACTGTTTATTTCTCTTACAAAATAAGGGATCAAATACCAAAGTTCATGTTCAATAATCCAGGTATAAAATTCAACAATGTTCAGTCAGGTGACTTAGCAAAAAAATAGAAATCGTCCAGATGACCTGAATGAACATTGTTGAAAGGGATCAAATATTTTTTCCATCCCTACAAACAGTGTTTTTATTCTTTCTGAAATCATAAAAAATAAAATTCATTCATTCAACTTTTATTTATACAGGTTAGTCTCATTGAGCATCAAGGACTAATTTACGAGAGAGACCTGTTTTAAACAAAGAATGATGACAACAGTAGACAATCAAAAAATAAAGCATATAACTTGAAAAATTAAATGGAAAAATGATTATTAAAAACACAAAACAGAAAGAGCTACATTTTAAAGCAATGTAAACTAATAAAAACAGGAACATGCCTAAAGTGTTTTTTGCAGGAACTGAGCAGATGTTTGAAACCATTTAGAGGTCAAGGTCGAGAGCTTCAGATCTTTTTCAAGGTATTACAGGAAACAGGAGCGGAGTAGGAGAAGGCCCTTTTGCCTAGTTCAGTCCGCACTGAGGGAACACTGCAGGTAATAATGTCCTGAGAGCGCACGCTGTAGCTGCACTCACACAGAGACATGAAGGAGGAGATGTATGAAGGCAGCAGACCAAGAAGTGATTTAAAGATGAAAATGTACCAGTGAGAGAGTCTGCATGAAGTTAATGATGTCCAGTTAACCAGTGAATACAGGGTGCAGTGGTGGGTACGATAATCACAGCCAGTTATGAATCTTAGTGCACCATGTTAGACAGCATCCAACATCTGCAGGGTTCTTGTAGGAGCGTTCATGTAAATAATGTCACCGTAATCAATGGAGGGAAGGAAAGTCACAGATACAAGGCGTTTCCTAGCATTCAGGGTTAGACAGGATCTGTTTCTGAAAAAGAAACCCAGTTTAACTTTCAGTTTCTTTACCAAGTTTTCCACATGAAGCTTAAAAGAGAGATGCGAGTCGACCAAGATAATCAAATATTTATAGGAATCAACAAACTCAATGGGGACACCATTTGAGGATAAAATCGGAGGAATAACTGCTGGTACCAACTTCCTATTTGAAAAAAAAAGCATCCCTTTGGTTTTTTCGGCATTTAGGACAAGCTTGAGGCGGAATAAATCAGACTGGATGTTGTTGAATGCAGATTTCAAAAGCTGTAAAGCCTTATCAACAGTTTTAGCTCGACAATAAACAACTGTGTCATCAACATAGAAATGTATGGATGCATTAGAGGACCAGATTTAACTTTTTTAGATTTTTCTACCTGGATTATTGAGCATGCATCAGGATGCATTAGGGATGTTTTTACCTATATTATGTATGTAGATTGTAAAGAGGGTGTGTCCTAAGACTAAGCCTTGTGGTACACCATTGTTGACTGTTAAATAACTGGAGGAAGTACCATTATGTTGAACACATTGCCTTCGGTCTGAGAGATAGTTAGAGAACCAACCAATGGTGTGATCTGAGAAACCAATTTCTGAGAGTTTATGACACAAGATGTTATGATCCACAGTGTCAAAAGCTTTGGACAGGTCTAAGAAAGTGCGGCACAATAATCCTTAGCATCCAGTGCTTCAACGATGTCATTAAGAACCTTCAGTGAAGCAGTGGTTGTGCTGTGTTGCTTCTTGAAACCATACTGATGTGGAGGTAAGATGTTAAATGAGTCCAGGTATTTTTTGATTTGAGAGTTTATCAGTTTTTCTAGAACCTTGGCTAAAATGCAGAGTTTAGAGATTGGCCGATAGTTGTTCAGTGAGGTGGGGTCACCTCCCTTCAGCAAAGGAAGAACAAAGGCTGCTTTCCAAGCATCTGGAATGGAGTTTTGTCTTATGGAGAGATTGAAGATGTGGGACACAGGGACTGCGATGATATGAGCAGCCAGCCTTAAGAAATAAGGTGGAAGTTCATCAGGACCTACAGATTTTTTAGGATCAAGATCTTTTAACAGTTTATTAACCTCAATGACTGAGAATGGAGAAAAAGAGAAGCTGTGTTTAACTGAGGATTGACTTGTAGGAGGGATTTGATTTGTAGAAGTTTGATTATTAAGTGAAGTGGCTGATTTTCCATTAGTAACTGTGTCAAATAAAGAACTAGAAGCAACAAAATGCTGGTTGAAACAGTTCAGGATCTCGTGCTTATTTGACACAGGAACAGAGTTAACGAGAATTTGTGAGGGGAGATCAGATGATTGGGGGGTGCCTGCGTGAGATTTGATGGTTTTCCAGAATCTGTTGGGGTCATTTAGATTTTTGGAGGTCTGAGATAAGAAATAGTTGTGTTTTGCTGCTTTGACAGCAGTTGTGCATTTATTCCTCATTTGTCAAAAACTCAACCAATCAGTGTCTGAGTCAGATTTTCTCGCTGTGGCTCAAAGATGGTCTCTCCTGTGCAGGAGGTCAGCTAGCTCTGGAGTAAACCAGGGGCTGTCTCGTCCCTTTATTCTTAACTTACGAAAAGGAGCATGTTTGTTCACAAAATAAATTAAACTATTATGAAAATTGTTCCAAGCGGAATTCATGTCATCAATTAAAAGAACATGATGCCAGTCAAAGTGAGACAGAACCCAGAGGAATGACTGCTCACAAAAACATTTCAGATCCTTTTTTTTTTTATTAATCTGGGCTTAGAAGGTGGAAGTTTAATATCTCTCAGAGTCGTTGTCACACAGTGATCACTCAAAATATTGGTGAATACACCTGTACCAGGGAATTTGTGAGACATATTCGTTAGAAACAGGTCTAAGATATAAGACTTTTCAGGACGTTTTTTGTTTAATCTTGTCGGAGAGTTGATCATTTGGGTGTAGATGAACATATATCTGTGATATATTCATAAATTAAACGGATTCATTCATTTTTCTGGACTGAATAATATCGTGCATTGAAATTAAATGTGACGTGAGACGTTAATTTTCTTTGACCCTTCAAATGAATGCGGTCATTTATTAACAGAATCAAAGTTTAACATCAAACATTTACATTAATTTGGCAAATTGATTTCAACAACAGCTTAATTAATTAGCTCTACGTCAGAGACCATACGGCCATGGTATCTGGGTTCAAGCTCTACAACAGACATTTCTGAAAATATCTGGATTAATTACTGGCAAGATAGAAGAGTTTAAAGATGGGGAATGAAGGAGTTAAGTGGAGAGAAAATGTGTGTGAGGGAAAATGTGTCGGTATAAGAACGGCACTCTCCATTCGAACCCAGTTTCACCCCGGTACGCTTCGGTAGGAAATCGACTCGTTACCTCTCTGAAGATGAATTCATTCATCAATGAATCAATTTGGTTAGGAATTGTTTTAGAAGACACACGACTAGCAACCAGAGAATCTCTGATGTAAACAGTGACTCCCCCCCCCCCTTTTTTTGACGATCACAGCGGTAGATGTTAAATCCATTGATTGCCAGGTCATTATTCATTACAGATTTGTTGAGCCAGGTTTCAGAGATGAAGATTACATCTGCACCAGAAGAACTGACCAGCATTTTCAAGGCATTAAGTTTTTTCAGAAGGCTACGTGCGTTTACATGCAGAAAATGAAACCCAGACACGTTCTTAAAGTTATTTGGTGTGCTATAAATAGTGGGGGGTCCAGGGTTGGGCTGAATCCCTGAGAACAGTAACAACATTATTATCAGACATTTTCTCGAGTTTTTTGTGAATGATGTGTAATTACAGGAGTTAACAGTGTGACAATTAGCCCCCATAATCAATCCATGAGAAACATTAATGAAGACTTGATCATTCAGAACCCAAAAACAGTGAAAGTTGCAGTGATGGGCAGATCCAGGTGTATTAACAAGATTCAGTGACTCCAGATAGTCTGAGATCTGAAAATAGTGACAATAATATGAATGGTGCAGTCTCAGACCATAAAACGTCACAATTCAAATGGGCAAACAAATCCGACGAGGTGGCCCAACTGCAGTTTGAGTTGGGCTGAGGGGGGCTCCGACCCCCCTGTGAAGATGGATGGATGCTCCCATGGGAAACAGAAGCGGGGTCCAATATCAACAGGCCGAAACAGAAACTGATAATTCGCACCAAATAGCAAAGCGAGCTGCCAGAAAATCCTCCTGAAGTGAAAGGCATGGTCCTAGCTCGTTTCAGGTCAACAGGAGTCAACAGCGTGATCTGGAATAAAAATAATTAATATTCAGGTGAGTTTGGATGGAAGCCTGCAGCAACTCCGATGTAAACTCGGAACTTATCTCGAGCACCACACAGCGCTGCTCCTCCGCTTCTCTGCACAACACCTCCACACCCGACAGCACGAGAGGCACCCCCGGTGAAAAACGAGACTGACCGGAGAGGCTGAGGCTGAAGTTGTCAATGGTCCGGTACGGTTTTGCTCCAGTCCGGCTCCGGCGCTCCACAGTACAAGAGGCGAAGAAGCTGAAGTTGTCCCTAGCCTGGTTCTG